TCACTCTTCCACCCTGAGTTGATTAACTTCCTCATTTCCTCCACTCCCACTGTCTGGGCAAGTCAAGGGGAAATAGCAATGAAAAAAAAAAAAGCGTTAAGTCCTGCTTCTGGGGCTGCAAGGAGGGTGAGCAAGCATATAAACAGACAAGTCATTTCTGGTAAAAAACAATTCCTATGAAGAAACACAAGCTAGGTCAAGGGTCAGGGAGTGGTGAGAATGGAGCAGCATTTCTTACTCAGGAGGGGGCATTTGAGTCAACAGACTGAAGTGAAGAAGTGAACCATGTACACCCAGAGGAAGAAGTGTTTCCAGAAAAAAAAAGCACATGCAAAGGCGCTGAGGTTCAGCAAGCCAGGCTAGCAAGAGGCCAGTGTACCTGGGCGGTGTGAGAGCGGGGAACAGGCAGAAACAAACTGAGGAGCTAGTGGCTCTTGCCTGTAATTCTAGCTACTCAGGAGGCTGAGATCTAGGAATCTTACTTTGAAGCCATCCTGGACTTCTTTTGAGGTGTGACTCAAGTGATAGAGTGCCTGTCTTGAGAGAAAGCAGATGAGAAGGAGAAGGCCCTGAGTTCAAGCCCCAGCACTGGAACAAAAAAGAAGAAACAGCGGTGAAGTCTCTTAGCTCAGCTTCCTGAGTTGACTCTGTTCACAGGCCTTGTGGTGACAAGATGACGGCAGAATTGAGCCCAGGACCTGCCAGCCCCACCAGCCCATTGCCCTGGACAGTGGAAGTCTTACCCTTGTCTGGACACCATGGATGTCTCTCCCTCGCCCCCCCCCCCCCCGCAGCATGGGGCAGTAGAGACAGGGAGGGGCAGTGGATGAGGTGCTTGTATCAGGACGCAGTAGATACTGGTCCAGGATGGGAAGCATCCACGCTCTGCTCAGCATGTAGGGAGGGTGAGGGGGGGCTTGGTCCTCAGCAGGACCGCGGAGATGTGGAGGGTATTTGGTTCTCTTGTCTGGATGGCTCCGTGGCAGAGCTGCAATGTGAACTTGAGAATCCTTGGCCACCAGGAGGTAACTGAGCCTGCCCCCTCCACACTCAGGATGAAGTGCTCAACACTGCTGTAAATCCAGGGCAGGCCAGGGAAGACAGTCCAGTGCTGGCTGTGTCAGCAAGGCCCACGCCTGGACACCTGTGAATCTGATGGCAGGCATCATGGAGGGTGCCTGGGGGTTAGTGGTCCTCCAAGAGGCCGAAGGTGAGCTGGGTGGACAGAGGACAGAGGCCTCTGGCAGTCACTCCCCTTGCTAGCTGTCTGTCCCAGAACAAAGGCCTGAACTCCACCTCCTATCTCCATCTCCAGGACAACCCACACTTAGAGTTGCTCTTGGAGCCAGGTCCCAGCGACCCATGCCTATAATGATAGCTTACTCAGGAGGCTGAGATCTAAGGATCACTGTTTGCAGCGAGCCCAGGCAGGAAAGTCTATGAGATTCTTTATTTCCAATTAATTACCAATCAAAAAAAAAAAAACAAACCCAAAACTGGAAGTGGAGGTGTGGCTCAAGTGGTAGAGTTCCAGCCTTGTGCCACAAAGCTCAAACACAGCTTCTAGACCTTGAGTTTAAGTCCCAGGACCAACACACACACACACACACACACACACACACACACACACACACACAGTAAAGCCTGCCCTTGGCCACCTGACTGCTGGAATAACCCACATTTTGTTTTCTGTTCTTAAGTGCAGCCCACTTGGGCTGGTGGGTGAGGCTCACGTATGGGTCTATGACAGGGGACATCATTAATACTCCAGTGACCTATGTTGCACAACAAACTGCCCCCAAACCAGTGGCATAAAACCACAAGCCGATGAGTCATTTATGCAGAGGAACTGGCTGAGCACAGGTGTAGCTGCACAGGCTTCTTCACAAGGCCAGGCCGCAGGGCAGATGGCTGGGAGAGATGCGGACAAAAGCCATGTGGCCCACCACCTCTGCGACCTAGTGGTCCTAAGGGGTACCTCTGAAGGAGGGGGCGGAGGCTCTACCTCTGATCTTTTATTTTGTCCATCTTGGGGCTTGAACTCAGGGCCTGGGCACTGTCCTTGAGCTCTTTTTGCTCAAGGTTAGCGCTCTACCACTTGAGCCACAGTGCCACCTCCAGTTTTCTAGCTAAGAGTCTCATGGATTTTCCAGCCTGGGCTGGCTTGGAGCTGAAATCCACAAATCTCATCCTCCTGAGCAGCGAGTATTAACAGGTGTGAGCCACTGGTGCCTGGCTGATCTGGGCAATGGGGATGAGCTCTGTTGTGGGATTTTTTTGGAAACTAGGCAGCTGCCATGATTTGGCCAGTACTCATTTACTGGTGCATCCATCGCCCAGCTCAGCCCGGGAAGGAATGGGTATGGGGTGTCATTGGCAATCTGGAGAATGTGGGACTCTTGAGGCAGCACAGCCGGTCAGGAGCCCCAGGTAATAGGACACTGAACTTCAGGGGTGATGAGCCAGTTACATACCGGGTCTGTTATGGCCTGGATTCTCCATCCATCCCATTCCTGCTCTCCAAAATCTCTGGGTGCTAGGGGGTACTGCACCTGGACAACATCACCAAGGAAGCACTGGGCACCTTAAAGGGGGCTCTTCCTGGGCCTCAGTTTTGCCCCCCCCCACTGGCTGTGACTTACTTCCTGTTAGGCAATGGTTAGGAAGAGGGGGAGAGAAGTCCCTGCTCGCTGCTCAGGCGGCTACAGTTACCCTCTTGCTCTGACAGCTGGGGAAACTGAGGCCAGCGAGAAGCTATGGGCAGGGCAGGGCTGGTGAGAGAGTCCTGTCTTTGTGGCAGGGCTGGCTTTGGTCCCCGTGTCCTCTGTGGGCTCCAGGCTGCGGGAGGTGACCCCTTCCCCCCCTTATGGCAGGGGTGTGTGAGAAGACAAGGCCGGCAGCCCCACACGACAGCCAGTTGCGGCTTCCATATAGCTTTTATTTCGGTCAGGCCAGCATGGAAGGTGGTGGAGTTGTTTGTGGAGAAGCCATGTCCCGCTGGATCATCCATGTCCTAAGTCCAAAGGTGGGGAAGCCCCCACCTGCATGCGGGGATACCCCGGGCCAGATCCTTGTGGCACCAGGAGCAGCAGCTGGATGGCTGTTTTTGGGAGGTGGGGGTGGGGGGAGCGGTAGGCTAGGCTCAGCTCACTGGCTTGACTTTGGCGATGAAGAGGGCCACGGCCTTCTCCAGGAACTCCTGCCGGGCCATGGGAGAGCTGGGCCGCCGCCCGCCCGCTGCCCTGTCCATGGCCAGCGCCAGGCTGTCGGGCCCTAGGCGCGAGCCGGCCTCCAGGTAGCACACGGGGGCGGTGGCTTGGTCGCTGGTGCCCAGGGCCTCCTCCAGGGTGTCCAGCACCGCCTGGCCCACTCGGCGGTCAGCCACCGCCAGCTCTGGGTCCTCCAGCAGCTGGAAGAGGGCCCTGGCGCGTGCCATGAACTCCAGCAGCACGAAGCAGGTGAGCATGCCGGTGCGGAAGACATCCAGGGGCACGGCCTCGTGGTCCCGGCACTGGATCTTGTGGAGCAGGGGTGCCACCACCTCCTCGGGGGCTCCGCCATCTCTGCAGATGCGTTTCAGCAGCTCACTGTACGTGCGCCCATCCAGCCCTGGCTTCTTCTTCCTCCCGCTGGCGCTGAGGCACTCGTAGGCCACGCTCACGTTGTTATTGAAGGCTGTCCTGTGGGCGGGGAAAACCCGATATGGGGAGTGTGGAGGGCCAGGCGGCCACCCATGCACACTCCTGCTGGCCCCCTCCCCAGCCCCAGGGCCTTTGCATCACCGTGCTCCCTGCTGGAAGGCCTTCCGCGTCTGCATGAGACCTGCCGTGGTTCCAGTGTCATCTTTCTTGTCCTGCCCCTCATTTATTTATTTATTTAGTGCCAGTCCTGGGGCTTGAACTCAGGGCCTGGGCGCTGTCCCTGAGCTTTTGTGCTCAAGGCTAGCACTCTACCACTTGAGCCATAGCTCCACTTACAGCTTTTTTTTTTGTGGCTAGAGATAAGTCTTATGGATCTGGTTCAGGCTGGCTTTGAACCATGATCCTCAGATTTCAGCCTCCTGAGTAGCTAGGATGACAGGTGTGAGCACCTAGATTGGTTTTTCTAAGACAGGTTCTTATTGTGTAGCCAGTCTAGCCTTGAACTCATGATGTTCCTGCCTTCGCCTCCTAAATGCTGGGATTACAGATGGGCAGCGCCATGCTTGGCTGGGAAGTTCAGTTTCTTTGGGGCCCAGCCTCAGTGGTCCTACATGCACTTATAGTTGTACCACGCTCCCAGGTGGGAGGTGGGTGGTCACAAAGATTCCTATGCTCCCTGCTCTTCACAGGTTGGCTGATGCTGTGGCCAGCCCTGGCTGGAGGGGGTGCGGGGGTCTGTGGCCTTACTATGTGTTGTATGCCTGCTGAAGGTAAACTGTAGTGGTTAGCACAAAAGGCATTATGCAACCTATCGGGAAACTGAGGATCTGCGCAGACCAATGGTCTGGCTGAGGATCCCAGACAGGAGGTGTTGAATCCAGGGTTTACACTTGTCCCTCAGTTGTGTGTGGGGGGGGCGTGGGGCTGTTCATCCTTATTATACCCTGACCTTCCTGTGGATGTGGATGTGCTGTCATCTTCTGGGGCCCCACGGGTAGCAGCTGCTCAGGAATCCTGGCCACCTGTGTCATGATGGCCACTCAGGTCAGGGTTTGAGCTTGCGCACTAAAACAGGTCGGAGCGGCAGATACTGAGATGCGCCTGATCCCTCCCTGCGGATTTGGTTCTTGGCTGTCATGGAGCCAGGCTGGCGTCTGCCAGGCTGCCATCTGCTCACACTGGCAGGTGCCCTGTGGTCAGAGGCTTTGTCCTGGCCAGCCAGAGGTGGTCGCTCTCAGTTGACCCTGGCTCTGGGGGCCCCCATCCATACCCGGTGACCTTTGTAAGTCCTTTTAGGTGCCCCCAGGCCAGGGAGAGGATTGTGAAGCCTGAGGTAGATGGGCTGGCAGCGGTCCATCCACAGTGGCATGTGGCTATGTCACAAGTCACCCTCAGACCTGTCACCTCAAACAAGAGTTGCTGGCTGTGGCTAGAGAGAGCCCTGAAGACTTCCAAGCTCCCCTAAAGGTGGAACGTGTGACTCCCAAGGGGGGCACTGACTTGTCAAAAAAAATTGGTTTTTCTTCATATGTGTGTGTCTGTCCTGGGGCTTGATCTCACAGTCTGAGCATCGTTCTTTAGCTTTCACTCAAGGCTAACATTCTACTACTTGGGCCACAGTTCTACTTCCAACTTTTTGGAAGATTCTTTGGAGATAAGAATCGGACTTTCCTGCTCAGGTTGGCTTTGAGCCACGATTCTCAGATCTCATCTTCCTGAGTAGCTGAGATGGCAGATGTGAGCCCCTGGTGCTGCTCTGGGATGTCATGTGCAGATAGCTCCGACATCTGAGGGTTGTGCCAGGGACAAACACCCCTCCAGGCTCTCCAGGGCCACTGGATGGCCACGCTGGCCCAGCCAACCTTTCCAGGATTTTCTTCCACACACATTCCCCTCCCCAGGTCAGGCCAAGCCAGCCATTTGCTGTGGTTATGGCAGGTGAGCATTCGATCTGCTTCTGTTAAGACTTAAGAGCCACCAGCCACTCCCTAGGGTCAACTTCCCAAGGTGTGGTCGTGTAAGCCCACAGCAGAGCCGTGGTTGTGAGACTCACTGAGGGGCTGTGACACAGATCATCCTGACTCACAGGACCAGGGGCCAAGCTTTCCCCAGGGCTGCATGTGATGGAAATCTGTCTGGCCATCAATTCTCTTGAGCAGAGTCCAACTTCTCTGGAAATCTCTGGAGGTGGCAGCAGCCAGGATGGAGGGGGGAGGGGGCACAGTATCGGCTCTTGCTTGGCTCTCTTGCAGCCACTGGGCACCTTGGGTTTGCATGTGCCAGTCCAGACCTGCCTTCTGCAGTTTGCCTGCTGTCATTGCCTGTGTGTTTTTTGCATGTCTCTACCTCTCTGCGTCCTGATCTCCTGGGGAACTTAGATCAGGTTCGCTGTCCAAAGCTGTTTACAGCGGCTTCCGGTCTTGTGGGCAGAAAAACCCACAGCTGGGCAATGACAGCAAGGAAGGCACGAGGCAGGGACGCCCACCTTCCAAGCTGCCTCACATCCGCTCCTGAGATCAGCGGCTGAATCACCAACAGGTGTTAGGTGGGCAGTGCCAGGCATCAAGTGAGCTCTGGACTTGGAAAAGCCTGGGTGGTTTGGTCTGTAGAATGGGGCCAGGGCACTCAGCCAGGGAAGTATGTCTTGGAAATAAGGAAATACGCCAGAAGCTGGGTGGCTCATGCTTGTAATCCTAGCTATTTGGGAGGCTAAGATCTGGAGAACTGAAGTTTGAGGCCATCCAGGCACAAAAGCCAGCGAGACTCTATCTCTAACAAAACAAACAGCAAATGGCAAGGATGGGGGCAGGGATCAAGTCGCAAGGCAACAGCTGAGTGAGCAAGGCTAGCAACAAGGAGGAAGCCCTAAGCTCAAAGTAGCTAAAAGAAAAGACAGCAAAAAGAAATATGAGGTCCGGGGGCTGGTGCTCACACCTATAATCCTAGCTACTCAGGAGGCTGAGATAGGAGGATTGAAGTTTGAAGCCAGCCTGGGCAGGAAAGTCTGTGACACTCTTATCTTCACCTAAAAACTACCAAAAAGCCCAGAAGTGGAGCTGGGTTCAAGTGGTAGAGCAGCACCCAGGCACTGAGTTCAAGTCCCAGGATCAGCACAAGAAAGAGAGGAGAGAGAGAGAGGGAGAGGGTGGGGAGGAGAGAAAGAGAGGAAATACATTTGTACAATGTCTCCATAGCCAGGGCAGCCACTTCCTACCTTTGGCCAGCAGGGGGCACTCTAGGCAGTGTCTGAGGGATTTGTATGGTTGCTGTATGCAGTATGGAGTGGGTGGAGGCCAGGGATGCTGCTTGGCACCCTGAGTGTCCAGGACGCCCCGCACGGCACAGAGCACAGTCTGAGGCTGAGGCACCCTGGACTAGCCTGGCCTCTCCTTCTTGTGTCTCCTCAGCAGTGCTCTCCTTGGAAACACTACAGTCAGAGTCCTTGCTGTCACTGGCCCCAGGAGCTATGCAATCTGGGTCCGACTCCTGCTCTGCTCTGTGGTGGCCTTTTGCTCTGAGCGGGTAGGTGACTATGGAGACCGTGGCCACTGTCTCTGGCTCTGGTAGCCAGAGACTCCCACAGGGAACTGGGGGTGCCATAGGCCTTCGTATCAGACCCCAGGCTGGCCTGGTCAGCCCCTCAACATTGGGTAATAACATGCCAAGCCAGGAGAGGGCAGAGCAGCCCTGGCTTCTGCTCCCAACTGTCCTCTGGAGGAGAGGACAGGTGTGGCTCTGAGATGCAGCAGAGGCTTATGAGCCTGCCTCCCGACTTCCTCATCGGCTGACTCTGGGAGACGAAGTATGGTCAGCCTGCTGGGTCCTCCCGTTATCCCCTCCTTCCTACTTTCCTTTCCTCTTTGGACTGGGATGGAACTCAGGTCCTTGAGCATACAAGGCAGGTGCTCTGTCACCTGAGCCACATTCCCAAGTTGCTTCCAAACAATGCAATGCGGCTGAGTAAATCCACCCCCACCCAAGTCCATATCCTTACACAACCTCATAATATGGCCTTTTCCAAACACAGTCTTTCCAGGTGTAATTGACTGAGAAGAGGCCAGCACTGGCGTGCTTAGAAGGGACATCAGGCACACAGAAGCCAAGTGGGGAGTGACACAGATGGGGCAATGTGGCCACAAGTCAAGGGACTGCCAGCTGTTGAGGCTGAGGGATCCTCTTCTGGAGCTTCCCCTCTGAGGCCACGTGACCCTGCTATCTTCACACCAGACTTCTGGCCTCTTCAAGGATGAAAGAATGAGCTTCTGTTTGTTTTTTTTTGAAGCTCCTCCTTTGTGGTAATTTGTGAGGGCAGCTGCAGATTCATAGAAATATTTCCATCCATGGGCTGGGAAGGTGGCTCAGTGGTAGAGCGCTTGCCTTGCATGCATGAGGCCCTGGGTTCGATTCCTCAGCACCACATAAGCAAAAAGAAAAAAGCC